CAAGAGGAGCAGGAGAATGCACAGGAGTCGCCGCCCGTTGACGGAGACACACGTCGTCGCCCCTTGCAGTTCAGCAGTGTCCAAATGCTGACCAACATGATGCGCATGATAGGCTTCGATCCGCGCAAGCTGGGCGCACTGGCTCTAAATGCAATTGTGATGATTGCACAGGCGGTAAGTGTGCTAACCACACAACTCGGAAATTCCCCTCACTAATGCACAAGCTATTTCTCTTTCACAGATTGGCAGCACAATTATGCAGGCGACACGTGGCGGCGGCGAAAGCAACGCCGACACTGGACCCGAGGCGTTCTTCGAGCCCAGCGAACATCAGCCGCGGGATTTGACGCCTGGGAGCCCAATAGATTGGTTCCTGAAGCGTCCCGGCGCACATACGCAACGCATGGTGCGCCGCATCATGGATCGCCAGCTGCCCGAGTACATTGTGGACATGATTGAGTCCAAGGAGACACCCGATGGCAATGAAGCCGCCTGCCTGAAGCTGCTCATGTGCAAGAGCTCGCCCATCATTTGGGGCATGCAGAACTCGCTAAAGAAGCGCTTGGCCGGCGAGCCTGAAGAGTTCGACGAGGACAGCTACATGAATGCAAATGCATTCTTCAAATATTTACCCAGTTTGGATGAGTTCAAGGAGCATGGCGCGGGCTGTGAGTCCCGCTTTGCCAAGTACTGTCCACGCAATGCAACATTGGGCAAACCCTAAAGAGTACCCAAGAATATTAACCCATCAACCCAAAGACGCAATATTTTATATTTACATTTAGTTTTAAGTTCTATATAGTTTCATCAATAAATCAATAAATTGTTTTGTAATTAGCCTGAGATTCGCAACAAGCGATAAGCCGGGCCTAATGTCCCATGAAACGACCTCTAAGCTACTAGAATATAATCTATATTATTATATGATCTGTTTACTCTACATGTAACAGCCAACTATGCCTGGCTGGCATTTTGTCAACCCCCGACTTTGTTTTGGATTATACGCTATCATCATGATAAGCAGCCTCTAGCAATCGTTCGGGTTGTACTCATGTTGACTATCTAGATCATCGACGCCCTGACGCGGAGACATTCTTGAGTGTTAAGCACCCAATATTGAAATAGCGCTGCCCAATGATGAAATCGATATTAAAGGTATGCTATAAATACCTAACATAAAGGCCATCAATTACGAGATTAGTGTTGAATTCGCGAGATGACAGCTAATAGCTAAATATGTATGTACATATATACGAAAGACAAGTTAATATATTTCGCTATAAGAAAACATAAGCACATAATTTTTCAGATTTTTCCTAAAAAGGCTCTTAAATTGTTTATTAAAACTGCCAACTAGCTTTACAGTTAATATATATTTCTGAATACCCCGTTTGCCAGTCCCTTCAAAAACATAGAGGCTAAATTCTATTGTAATTTCACAATCAAGCCAACATTGAGAATCATTAGATAAACATAAGCTAAACTATTATTAGTCAGGCAAATGAAAGAGTTCGAAACGTTTAACAATACCATTTGCTTATCAAAGCTGGTTATCAATAAGGTTTATGGTCATATATTAATGATTCGTTAAATATGCAATGACAAAAACTTTAATTTTGTTGTGTAATTATTTGCCAACTGTGCATTGACATTCAGCAAGGTTACAAAGCCCTCAACAGATGACGGAGTCGATGCTGGCTAACTGACTGTTCGTTGGGCAAAACGCAAATCAATCAGGCTAAAATTTATCCAAATATTTGCAGCAAATGTTTTCTCAAACTTCAACTTTGGCTATTCCAATGACACTGCTCGCTGGCGCCATCTAGCGTTCGGAATCGCGTGCACGCATCAATTAAAATTGACAATTTATGAAAAGATGTATGTATATGTATATATACGAACATATAATTGCCATAATCGTTTTTCCAACTGATGGCGCACAAAAACCAATAAAGTTCGCAGTTATTAAATGAAAAAGCATCAGACACGCCTTCTGAGACGATTATATGTTGGTTTATTTATAAACAACGCCTAGCCGAGTGATAAGGCAAGTGTCAGAGGGCAGGTGTTTGAACTTCAGGAAGGTCAACTGTCCAGATAAGTAATATGTCGACGATTTCTGGCTGCTTGTTTATATAAATAAGCATGCATACATAATATTCTATATATATTATTAGAAGGCTTGCAACGCAATGTGCTTGGCATATTTATTAACCTGCAGTAGCTGCCCGTATGCCCCACACCTGTGAGCTACAGCATATTAGATAATGAAGACAACTCCCTCCAAGAAGAAGACAACAACTCCAAGCTGGGATTTTAATCACAACCTTTTTGGGCAGAAAGGTGACAGACCCTTGCCGAAATATTTATATTTTGGGCAATTGTAATGACATGGTATCTGCCTGGCGCGTGTGATCTAAACTCTTTGAACTTGGCTTTCGGGGCTGCAAGCAATATCAAATAACCTGGATGCGGTAATTAAAGTAATTTCAAGGTTTTTCTGCCTGACAACTAATGCAAAATTGTCGTTAAGATAAGATTGCTACGAAGAAACAGGAGACAAATTGCCAGCTGTAGCTTTTTAGCTTTTTATATTTAAAATTCTTGGAACATGGAAGTAAAAAAACAAAAACAAAAAAATCATGTTGAAGTTGTAAGTTAAAAGGCGCTGAATTCTGCAGCTACATCGCTGATAATGATAACACGCATGCAGAGGTATGTAATGCCATGTAATACACTTAAGTAACTTAATAGGCATTTTCGTTATTGTGGTAGAACTCTCGAACTGCACTTGGCCCAAATATCGCATAGCACGGGCTCTCCAGAAGCTTTGAAAACTTACACCGGCGCGTTGTAGCAGCACATCAATGGGTCGTATGCCTGACGTCATGGTTAAAACGTAAGCAACTCTATTTAATTAACTCTTTTTTGTTGTTAGTCACTTAAAACAGCTGTGTTTCCTTTTGTTTGATTTGTGTTTCTAACTACTTTTTTTGTTTTGTTTTTAATTTAGCAACACAAGAGCGCGCTTGAACGGGCGAAGACTATTCCGAAGCTGCCGACAGCTCTGTTAGCGAACTTTGCGCGACGACTGTGCAATTGGAAATACGGCTAGAATTCAATATGAATTTGAATTTCAATACAATTTTTCAAAGCGAGTACACTGAGAGCCTCAACAGCGGCGTCGACTGCGACGGCGCGGCTGGCGTCGACTGCGACGCCGGCTGAGCGACAAGTGAAACAGCAACAAGTGATAGCGCGCCTCCGAGCGCCACTGCAAACGAATGTGTGTGTGTGTGTGTGTGTGTGCGCGCGTGTGCGCGTGTGTGTGTAAGTGTTCTTGGGACAGCAGTAAAAATTAACTAAAAACAAGCAAAAACAAATTTTTAAGAATTGCGTACAAAGACATGAACATATCAAGTAGTAAACGGCAGCACGGCAAGCACTTAATGAGCAGAGTGGAAAGGGTAGAAGCAGCAACAAAATGATGAGATAAGATTTCGTTTTCAACATGAATGTTAAATGCCCTTTAGCATTTTTTACACATAAGAGCGTAGCGTATTTAAGAACTTAAAAGCACATTTCACTAAACGTTCAACGAACTGATGTTCAATCAATTATGAACTGGTTTTCAAAGCTGCCAAACACATTCCCAATTCCCACAGCTTAAATATATAAACACTTCCTGAAACATCTAGACATAATGCGTTACAAGCTTTGTCACACAGTTGCAATGCCTTACGCACAGCAAAGGGGATAGGAAGGTTCAGTAAACGCTGGAAGTGGAAAATATGCGGGGGCAGCGCTGTTTATCAGCCGAGCGGCAAAGACACTTAGGCACTTGGCACGCCCACATTCAACTGTGTCATGAATTGTCAGCAAGTGCAGCGATTACCGTACTAGTTCTTATCAGCTAAAGAACGCTGCGTGCATGCGCTCATGCTTCTGATAAGAATATGTTATTGGATTTTTATTATAGTTGATTGTGATTTGGTAAACATAGAATTTTTGGCAAGCCGTTCCATACACAAATATATGACATACACATATATAAAGCACACGACAAATTAAACCCAATAACTAATTTGGGCAAAGACCCCCAAAAACTCTCACACACACACACATATATACACACCCTCAAACGGCTGTGCACATAGTATGTAGAAACATTTGTGTGTGCTTGGCGGCTAGGTCACTTGAAGGTTAACCTTAGCCGTGCAGCGCTGCGGGAAAACCCAAGCTGAAGTGCAACAACCGCCATCAAGTGTCCGGCTATAAATAGAGAGTAAAAACCGGCAACAGTTGTTGCATTTACTGGAGAATTAACGCTGCATTTTTGCTGCACTCAATGAGAGCGAGAAAGAGAGGGACTGATAATCATGTGCGAAGTGAGGGAGAAGGAGAAAAGAGAGCGATTGGATTAAAAACAAAACTTACCTTGGCTTCTTGTGGCACATCCAACATTTTGCTTGAGTTAATTGTTTTAAACAAAAGCACCCTTAACACAAATTTCCAAGTTTTTTTACTTAATTAAACTACAGGCAGAGCGCAAGATTCAATTAACCGAACAACGAGACCACACAACGCAAAGAATTTGAATAAACTGACAATAAAAACACAACAAGAGGAGCAAGAAAGATATAAAAGTGATGCCGCCGTTTGATTCTCTGATTGGAGAACGCTTTGAGCATAAAAAATAGAGATGAGCCGCAAAAGAGTAACCGTTTCTGAGTCACTGCGACTGTCGCACGAAATGACACAGTCAAGCACATTTAAATACTTTCCAAATTGTATTGTAAGACATAGGAAATGTTCAAATTTCCTTATTTAAATTAAACTGCGAACGCTTTTCGTGTTTTATATCTATAATTGTGACTGAGGCACCTGACATATCGGAAAAACTGTTTGGAAACTAACAGAATAATTACTCATCTCCAAGAAGTTAAGCAGCTGATTGCGTGCTAGCGATGGCACTTTCAACCCCACATCAGCTGACAAGTATGACAGACCAAAACAAAAGGGTAGACAAGTAATGCGAAGTAAACAGGGCAAACCCATTCAAAGAGAAGCCTTATTAACTTAAACTTTGTTGCACACGCAAAGAAAAAACAGCAATAACATGGGAGTTTTTTTATCATGCTGCGGTAACAGCGCCGAGGAGACAAATCTAATGCCACCTGCGGTAGGGACTTCTTATTTTTGACTGAATACATTTAAGCATTTACCCTTCCAGGAGGAGCGACGCAGGCAGCAACTAGAGGCAGCAGAGCGTCGTCGTCTGGAAAACGAATCACGAGGAGTTAAAAATCTGGACAAGGTTCGTCGTCAGCAGCAGCGTGCCGCCGAGATGGAACGTAGAGAGGATGAGGCAGCACGCCAAGGTGACAACGGCCCGACTCTGCGGGTAAGTTTAGCTAACTGAACATAAAATTGAGTCGAAAATTTCGATAAGTGCTGACGGGTTAAACATTCGAATTGGATATGTACATTCTTTATTTGATTAAAAACTGAACACATACATTTTTATTCCGTTTTTCTTTGCAGTGGCAGGCAAGTTAAGGGCTTGGAAGAAACTCAACCGCAGCTGCCTTTACGGGTTTTTTTGTGCCCAATTGTTGACTGTGTATCAAGGCATTTGTATTAATTTGTTTTCAAATTTGTGTAAATATGTACTATCAAGCTATATTTGTGATTAAGCCCAATCCCACACATACCAAATTTTCGACCAAAAATAAAAGATTCTAAATCGGGCAAATGACCAGTGTTGGGCAACACAGCTTAACGCTAAAACAGCTGTTTTTTTGTTCGTTGCGTCAACTGCGCAATCGGATTTGTTCTTATACACCTGTTGCAAGCTTTTGTTTTGAATTTAATTAAATTAAAATGCTTGTCGAGCCGAATTGGTTTATTGTTTTGTGCCTGATCTGTGCCACACAATTCGGTTGCCATGCAAAAACCATAAAGAAAGCAGGAGCCAGCCTGCTGCAGCCACTGGATGAGCTAAGCCCTTGGCAGGGTAAATGGTTTCCCCATGCGCCAGGCGAGCCGCCCACAGAAGAAGTGCAACGTATGCAGCTGCAGTCAAATGCAATACCTAAATCAAAAGATGCATGGCAAGGCAAGTGGTTTCCTCAAGCTCCTGGAGAGCCCCACATCTTAAGGAATGAGCTGCAGGCTAGCTCTGAAACGGATACGTCTGCTGAAACCACAGATAGCTGGCAGGGACGATGGTTTCCCCACGCTCCAGGTAAGGCTCACAATTCAAAGGACGCTGCTCACCACGGACCAAAAAAGGTGAAGGAGCCGCAGTTCATCATTTGTGATGATGGAGAGGTAAGCACACTAAAAGGGGATTTTTTCCGACATTTTGGATTACTCATCACACACTTTCATTTAATTATGTAGCACAACCTGAGAGTTGATTACGAGCCGGAAGATATACGTCAGAACTACAATTATCTGTGCCTTGAAAGCAACCGAAGCCGCTTTAATCCCAATTTGAACAATGAGGCCTTGCTGACGAAACACTTTTTGCCCAGTGCCTACGTGCCACCCGCAAAGTGCCTGAATGAGTCCATTGGCTACTCGCACCAGCCAGCCACAAGGTTAGTCAGCGACCCGATAATCTGCTTAAATCGAATCTTTAACTAAACTTTTGCTCTACAGCGGCGCCTTCCGTCCATTGCCTGCCGTCTATGGCACCTACAAGTACATTCCCCCTCAGCGATATATGCGAAATCTTGCCGAAGGCGCCATTGTCATGCTGTACCATCCGTGCGCCTACCATGGCCAGGTGGCGCACCTGCAGAATATTGTGGGCGGCTGTCTCTATAGGCATCTGATAACGCCCTCGCAACTGCTGACGCCGGAGCGACCACTGGCATTGCTGGCCTGGAGGCATAGTCTGACCATGTCGGTGGTGGACAAGCAACTGGTGGGCCAGTTCATAAGAAACTATGCCAAGCTGGGGCCACTGGCGCTGCCAAATCTCTCACGCGTGGTAGAGAAGCGCGAAACCTACAAAGCTGCGCTGCTGACTGAAGCTCGACTCGTCACCGATTTGGATGACAGCGAGCTGTGCGGCTACTTGGATTTGCACATGTGAAACCTGTTAACTAATTACTGTACTCGAATATTCCTTTATAAATGTATATTATTTAATATTTAATGGCCACTTATAACTTAATAATTCGAATTTGTTTGAATTCTGTAATCGATACAAGTCGCAATCGCAATGCTGCCTATCGATGTGATATCGAGTGACCGATAGTTTTGTGGTGGCCGGCAGATAGACGCACGGCAATTTGTTGTTTTTTTTCCACTCTACCATAAATACCTTTTGTTTTGCGGCACTCACGCATTCAGTTCGTTTCTCTTCTACAGCTTAAAACAACTAATAAGCGATACGCGTTACTCCCATTATTCCGCCGATTGTGTTTGATTTTTTATTGCACGCCAGCTGGAAGCGTAAAGAAGAAGCAGGGCCAGCAACAACAGCGGAGAGGTGAAACAAAGGAGACGGCGACGGCGCAGCGCACACAAAAACACAATTAATATTTTTTATATAAATTGTCGCTGTTGGATGAGCACGGGACCGCGAAAGTAACGAAGCTGCCAGTAGAAAAGTGATCGCACATCACGTGATAATTACGTGAATACGTGATATTCCTGCTCCTGCCGAACGCCCCAAGCAAATTAACCAACACACATCCTGTAACGCGTCTTTTACATAACAAGCGGCAAATCATGAACAATCTGGCGGACTCTGTGGTGATTGATCCGGGCTTTGGTGGAGGCGACAAACAGCAACAGGCGGTGGCCACACAGCCGCAGGATGCCAGCGTTGTGGTTCCCCCACCCGCTACCAAGCAATCCTCAGCCCTGAAGAAGACAAGCCGGTATCGCAGTCGCTCCCTGAGCGCCTCCTCCACGGACTCCTTTAGCTCGGCCTCGTACACGGGCAGCAGTGAGGACGGCGACGATGTGCCGCCGCGCGAAAAGGTGCAAAAGAACTCCAAGGGTAGCTCCGACTTCTGTGTGCGCAACCTTGGCGCCCAGCATGCGTTCGGTCGCCGTGAAATCGAGATTGCCGAACAGGAAATGCCGGGCATTATGGCGCTGCGCAAACGTGCTGCGGAGGACAAGCCGCTGAAGGATGCCAAAATCGTTGGCTGCACCCACATCAATGCCCAAACGGCGGTGCTGATTGAAACCCTGGCAGAGCTGGGCGCCAGCGTACGTTGGGCCGCTTGCAACATTTACTCCACCCAAGTGAGTAGCAATCATTGGTGTGGGTGGGCTTAGATTTGAGCTGAAACACCCTATATAATTAGTATATACCCTACTGTTAAGCTCTAAAGGGGAATATCTAGTTCAAAGTGCTAAAGTACAGATCTTAGCATAAGCAAAACATTCTGTATGGGGGGGATCTTGTGGCAACTGTTTTGTTGTGCTGCCTGCGCCATTCGCTTCACGCAAGTCACTTGAGCCAATTTGTTGTCACGCACACACACACAGATAGAAAGACAAACAAATCATCAATCAAATGACGCGGACAAAGTTAAAGGGGTCGCGGGCGGCTCAAGTGGCTTGGTTTGGCAATCAAAGAAGCGAGACGCTGATAATTGATATGTGTGTGTCTCTGTGTGCGCGCCCGAAATTGGGTCTGGGCCCCCTCCAGGCACTATTGTATACTCCGGGCCTGCAGGGGAAACTGGTTTCTGGCGCCCAGCTCCGGCTACAGACCGAGCTTGCAGAGCAGCTACCCCCCATCTAGCCCAGGCAGCGGGACTATATCGAATGCAATTAGCATTGACAGTCCAAAGCTGTTTGCACTTTTTTATGTGCCGTCTAATTAATCGCTACACCCACACGGGCACGGATCGGACGGGGCAGCGCCCTTATCGACTTCTTATTGACACACTGAATCACACAGTAAGCGCTGCGTAGCTTTCAGCTTATCAGCCGAGTGCTGTGCTTAGGCGGATTCACCTGTACTAGCAGTCGCCCGCCTTTCCCTCTAATGCCCCTTGCGTTTACTTTTTGCAGAACGAAGTGGCCGCTGCACTGGCCGAATCGGGTATACCGATTTTTGCCTGGCGCGGGGAGACGGAGGAGGATTTCTGGTGGTGCATTGATCGTTGCGTCAACGCCGAGAACTGGCAGCCCAACATGATACTGGACGATGGCGGAGATGCCACCCATCTAATGCTCAAGAAGTATCCAACCATGTTCAAGCTGGTCAAGGGCATTGTCGAGGAGAGCGTCACGGGCGTGCATCGCCTTTATCAGCTGTCCAAGGCGGGCAAACTGACGGTGCCAGCGATGAATGTCAACGATTCGGTGACCAAGACCAAATTTGATAACTTGTACAGCTGCAAGGAGTCCATTTTGGACAGTCTCAAGCGTTCCACAGATGTCATGTTTGGTGGCAAGCAGGTCGTTGTCTGTGGCTATGGCGATGTCGGCAAGGGCTGTGCCCAGGCGCTCAAGGGTCAGGTAAGCGATGCCTAGCAATCGTTTGTGAGCGTCCGCTTAACATCACATCCTCAACCTTTCCACCCCAGGGTTGTATTGTGTACATCACCGAAATCGATCCAATTTGTGCGCTGCAAGCTAGCATGGATGGCTTCCGTGTGGTCAAGCTAAACGAGGTGATCCGCAATGTGGACATTGTGGTGACGGCGACGGGCAACAAGAATGTGGTGGTGCGCGAGCACATGGATAAAATGAAGAGTGGCTGCATTGTGTGCAACATGGGCCATTCCAATACGGAGATCGATGTGAACGGGCTGCGCACACCGGATCTCACCTGGGAGAAGGTGCGCTCCCAGGTGGATCACATCATTTGGCCGGAGGGCAAGTATATCATCTTGCTCGCCGAGGGACGGCTGGTCAACTTGAGCTGCTCCAGCATACCCTCATTCGCGGTGTCCATTACATCCGCCACGCAGGCGCTGGCGCTGATTGAGCTCTTCAATGCCCCGCCCGGTCGCTACAAGTCCGATGTCTATCTGCTACCCAAGAAGATGGACGAGTATGTGGCCAGCCTGCATCTGCCCACGTTCGATGCGCACCTGACGGAGCTGAGCGACGAGCAGGCCAAGTACATGGGCCTCAACAAGGCCGGTCCTTTCAAGCCCAACTATTATCGCTATTAAAGCGGCGACGACGGGACAATAAATGAACGCAAACAACAACAATTAGAAGAACAACGCCAACGAAAGTATTTCCAATGCAAGATTTAAAACTATTTACGCGAGAGATGAGCTTCTCACAAATTGTTGACATAAAAGATGAAAAAAAAAAAAAAGAAAAACAAAACACGACAACACAAAGTTACTATAAAATTGTATTGCTTAGTAAGCGAGACACGAGACACCAAAACAAAACAAAACACAAGAAACAAGAAATCTGACGCTTTTTAGTTGCTAGCATTTAACTAATAACAAATGTATTTTTTGGCAGTTATTTAATAGCCGCAAAAGTATTTAAATTTTTTGTCACATTTTGTCATTTGCCAACACTACACACACACACGCCCACACACACTCACACGCGACTAACGGTTTCGGTAGCTAACCAAACTTTCGCTTTGCTAACACACCCGCAACCCCTCGCCACCGCCGCCACCCCCCGGTGTACTTAACTAGCGGCATTTGAATTTATATTGAAAACGTTTTGTTGCCGTTGCATGGAATTTACTTAAATATTTACACCTGTTTTTACCTGTTTAATCGTATCTATTTGTATTCGTTTATTTGCTTACTTATTTTTATACCAAAAGCATGTTTCATGTTTCCCCCTTTTGATTGCAATTTTTGTATCCTTAATCCTTGAGCGTCGTTCACGATGACAGTTAATTGTAATGCAGTGCAAATAATTCCATTTATTCAATTATTGAGGTACTTACGTACACGCAGGCATATATCAGATAAAGAATTCTATATATACACGCATATACATACATATTATTAGAGAACTTTATGTATAAAAAAGAAAAGAAACCAAAACCATTGAACAAAAGTGAATGAAAAACATAATGTTTGTAAAAAACACAAAAAACAATTGAACTTTAAGCGAAAATTGTGAAAGTATAAACAATAAAAAACGTTTTATTGAGCAACGCGCTTGGTTTTCCTGTCAGACCCGAGAGCCCTGTTTCAAAAGTGAAAACAGTTTGGTTTATTTTATCAGATGCATCACTCGTCTATTTTTATTTGATATTATGCCTTAAAAATTTTATGTTTTCTTTGATATTTTCTTCTTTTTTTTTACCATAATTTGTAAATTACACGTTACAAAAAATTATATATTCTTGATTTTTGTTTTGTTTTTCGTTACTTAAAATGCCGTAGACTACATGAAAGTATTGTAGATTCGTCTTAATTAGGTTTAATCCTAACATATTGGTGGGGTGGACCCCTTTGCCGAGCCCAAAATAAGTCATCGACGACGTCGTCTACACCGCGTGCAAATAATCCTTAAAAAAAAAGCGATAAATGGAACAAACAATTGTCGCAGAGCCGAAAATTTGCATTCAAAGGAATCAAAGGGACTAAACTAAATGTTAAGCGATGTGTATATGCGTTTGCTTATATATGTGTGTGTGGGTGTATGTGTGTGTGTGTGTGCGTGTGCCTGTTGTTGTTGTTGTTCTCGGTGCTTGTTGACCAATTGCATCTGGATGGGACTGGGCATGTGGCTGCAGGCAGCAGCTTAGTCAAGGAAGTGCGGCTTCAGGTGCTTGAGCATGCCGAAGGTACGGAAGCGTTTCACCTTCATGACCTTCATTAGCTCATCGTCGCATATGGCGAACTGCTTGTTCTTCGGATCGTACAAGTCGCGCTCCTTGATGATGGCCCACACCTTCTTGACCACCTCGTGGCGCGGCAACGAGTCGGCGCCCATGAGAGCCGACAGCTCCGGCGACAGATTGTAGGCGCGTGTGAAACCGGTGCTCTTGCGTCCAGTGCCGGAGCCGCTGCCAGCGGATTTGGCCGCCTTCTTCTTGGGCGCTGGCTTCTTGACCACCTCGTAGTCGGAATCGGAGCCGGCATCGCTTTCGGTGCCCGAATCATCGGCATTGAGGCTCTTGCGCTTCTTCTTGGCGGACAACTTGTGCTTGGTCGGCTGTGGTCGTTTCTTGGGTGCCGGCTTCTTCTTTT